AACATACAGTAAGATGGGCTCACTTCATGTGGCTTTTGACAAATAACTGTACATGGAGTCCTCCTTACAATAAAGATACTATTCTTGTTGCCTCAGAAAGTTCTGGGGCGCCTTCCTGCCCCATCCCCTCTCCCCATCAGCATCCACAGGAGGCCCCAGGCAGCCAGTGATCAGCTCTCTGACTCTGCAGACTCCCTTCACCATCTCTTAACACTCCTCAGCCACAGAGTCAGACAGCACACACTCTGTTGTGTCTGCTCCTTTTCTCGGCCTTATGCTTGGCGCTGATGCATGCGGTTGCATTTCTCAGTAGCTCGCCTTTGCTGCTGAGTCACCATCCATATGTATGGCTTGGCTCCACCAACATTTGCTCATCTGTCCGCCGGTGGTGGACATTTGGGTTGTCATATTTCCTATAAATATTCAATGTCGTTTATATCGCTGCTATTCCATGGAGTTGAGTCTACCAGGGTTTCCTTGTCTGTTTTGTTTCATTTCTTTTCTGCTTGGAAAATCTCTCATCCTGAGGTCTGAAAACTATTGATTCATATTTTCAACTTTTTAAAAAGAGTAGCATCATATTTTCTATTTAACTATCTGAAATGTATGTTGTTATGATGTGAGATAAAAATTCAATGTTACTTTTCTCCAAATTTGACCCACTATTATATCACCATTTATTAGTCTTTTTTTTTTCTTTCTCATCTACTTTGGGACACATGGTCATCATCAATATTATCAGATACCAAATTTTTATAAAATAACCAGATTCTGGCCTTCTGATTTTTTTTTTTTTTTTATAAAATATATTTTATTGATTTTATACAGAGAGGAAGGGAGAGAGACAGAGAGTTAGAAACATCGATGAGAGAGAGTCATCGATCAGCTGCCTCCTGCACACCCCCTACTGGGGATGTGCCCGCAACCAAGGTACATGCCCTTGACCGGAATCGAACCCGGGACCTTTCAGTCCCCAAGCCGACGCTCTATCCATTGAGCCAAACCGGTTTCGGCTGGCCTTCTGATTTTATTGATCTTTTCATTGGTGTGCCTCTTCCATATGAATTGTAGCTTTACGGTACAGTACCGCTCCATTTCTTTAGGCAGAAGTTTCCCTGAAAGCATTACATAGTACATTGTAGCAGAAATCTTCCATTTCAGCAATATGTTGGCTCACCTCATCCATTCTTTCCTGAAGGCATCACATACCATTTCTGCCTTTACATCCTCTTCTGAGCCCATATAAATATGACATCTCTTCCCAGGAAGGTAGCAAATGACCTCACTCGTGGGCCTGGTCAACGTGAATTCCTTCCGGAAACTTGCTTTCTGGTCAACTTGCCTTCTGGAAACTTGCTTTTCCTTCGTTCTTCAGGCACATTCTTCTTTCCTCTCACACTGCCAGGTCTCTGCCTCAGCATCCTGCTCCCTTCTTCTGTCCTGTGTGTGTTGGTTCCTAAGATTCTGAGCTTCTTCTGTGTTCACCTTCTACTGAATCCTGGGCTGTCGCGTGCCTCCTCGGTTATAACAGTATCTTTCTATAAATGACTCCCATGTCTACCTCTACACCCTCGGGCCCACTTTCAAATGGTGTCAGTGGTGTCAAATGCGTCTTTATATGTTAATAGGTCAAACAAGACCCATTGCTCCTCTGTCTCCATTTTCTTTCCCAACGCTGCTGACTGTAGCATCTACTCAGTCATCCAAGGACACCCCAACATTGTTACTCTCTCCCTTGACCCCAATGGTGTAAACTCATTCCCTCTGGAATTTTGACTCTTGAGCTGCTGCAGTTGAGGCCTCTGAGCTGTCATTCAGCTCATGTGTGCCTTCTGATGTTGTCAGATATTGTCCGACTTGCTCATTCGCTAATTCCAGTGCGCTCTCTATTTTAACGCCATACCATTTGCAGAACTGCTCATATCGCCAGCTGTTCTAATCAAATCGCCATGTCCTTGTGGATTGCCACCACGTTCTCTCATTGTGTCAGCTTTTCACAAAAGTCCCACCGACAGGTGCTCGGCGACGTTCCTGTTGCGCTTTACGCAGTGTTTGCCCGACCGTAGGCTCAGATCTGGTTCACGGGTGCTTCAGTTGCTGCCAGAACTGTTGTTTAATTATCCTAATTGTTTGCACCCCAAATTCTTTGAAGCTTCTTATCTCATAATAATAAATCTCCACCCCCTTATCTTGGCAGTCAAGGTCCTAAAACATGTGGCCTCATCCTTTTTTACTTAAATCCTGGCATTGCCTGGAATGGGGGTTATTCGTCAGCTGGGGGAGTTCCTTGTGTGTGTTTTCTTGCCGTTGCTTTCTTTTTCTTTTTAGAATTAACTCTTGATCAAGCACTGATTAGTTGACTTCTCTGTGCAGGTTCTGCACAAGGCCGTGTTAGAAACACAAAGGTGGAAACAGCTTGAGTAGCGGTCTTTGATAGGCTTCAATATAAGATTCTCCTTCTGCGAAAAGTTCCATCCTTATTTGTGAAGCCTCTTCAGGTCATCTCAACAAAGATTAATCATCCTTTGCCTCCAAATCACTTTTAATATCAGAAGTGGACAACGTATCACAGCTCTCAGATTTTATCTCTGCATGTGTCTCTTCCTCTGAGTTGAATGTCTTGAGGTCAGGAATTGTCTCTGTCATTAAATATGTTCTCTCTTCTCTTCCCATGCTGACACGGGGGTTTTAAAAATAATTGATTGGAAACTTGGCTTCCAGCCAAGAAATGTGCAGCAAGTTAGGTAGGCAGGAGAGGGTTGAATGATCACAGCCAAGGATGTGCTTCCGGAGGGGACAGGGGGTGATGGCTAAACTCCAGAACAGGAAGGAGGGGTTCGGACTGGAAATCATCGGATTGGGCAATTAAGAGGTCTTGGTCTTGATTATCTTAACAAGAGTAAGTCCCATAAAGTAGCAAGGGCAGGCTCGGAGGACAGCAGATTGAGGAATAAATAGAATTCTCCTTAAGTAAAAACTTTAGCATCTATTTTTATGGAAATTGGCTGGGAGACAAATGAAGATATGTGTGATCTAAATAAAGATCTAGAACCCCGCATGCATTATATTGATGGAGGGAGCATCCATGAGTTTTGTACCGTAGATGAGTGGGTAGCAGGTTTGATGTTATTTTAAGAAAATTTATAAATTTAACCACTATTTTCATTCAATTAGAACACTACCATAAATCAAAAATCTACATAGAGGGCCCAGGTTCGTTCATCAGAGTTAGTGATATTTTGAATAAAGCATGGTAGAAATTACTTTGACCTAGAATTTATTCAGAATGGTTTTACTGATGGTCCATGCTTCTTTCTACTCACTGTCCTTAATTTTAATGGTAATGCATTGTGTAGATATGTCTGTTTATATGCCTTATGCATTATAACACATAATATGTGAGATATATATATATATATATATATATATATATATGCTTATATAAAGTAAATGTATTTTTAAAAACTTTCCTGAGGAATTGTTACATACTAGTTTGATTTTTTGGCATAGTGTATTGAATTCTTGGTCTGACACAGTTAACATTTCTGCATTGAGAATGCCTTTTATATTTGATGGTGTGTCATAGATTTTATTTGCCTTTTTTTTTTTTTTTTTCTTGCTTGGTGTAAACATAAAATAATGATAGAGTCCCAGTCAGTAGCGTCTTGGAGCTGATAAAACAGGGCAATATGATAGAGCGTTAAAGCTTAGAGACTTCGGCCTGCTAGTTTAGCTTTGCCTTAACTAGTGTTGGGCTAGTCGTTTTTGGCGATAGGTACATGATATTGCCTTTCTTTTTTATTGTGACAGTGGGCTAGGCACAAAGCTATGTCAATACAATGACAGGCTCCTCAGGGGAGGCGGAAGTGGGGAAGGGAGGACGGAACCTTAGGGCCCCTCGTGTGTGTCACCGAGTTATGGTTTGGGGTGCGAGGCACAGATTGGTTAACTGGGCCTGTTAGAAACTTGTAGGAGTGCTGGAGGCACTCATCTCTGATCTTGCAGCAAGGAGCCCCCTGACTGGGGGCCACTTCTACCCTCACAGACGTCTGTGGAGCATCTGCCGGACGCCTGGCAGTGTGCTCAGCCCTCCCACAAGCACTGCTCCTGGGCTTCCTCTGTCCAGTGAGATGGGCCACCAGGGGTCTATCTGCTGGGGGCCTGCTCCTCTCTCCATGGCCCGCCTGGGAGATGGGACAGGCAGCTGGCAGAGAGCTGGCTGAGCCGGGGGCTGGGTGCTTGGGCACAGAGGGCACCCAACCAGTACTTGTAGGCTGCCGAGTGGCAATCAGCTGAGGAATAGCTGGGCTTGGTGTTCACCTGTTTGTCTGAGAAAAGAGTGGAAACAGAAAGAATGGGTGTTGAGAATGACAGGGGGCTGATGGGAGCTTCTCAGGCCGCCGTGGACATCACTGCCCGCTTCTCACCATGGAAACACGATGCAAACCGTGGGGATGTTTGCAGAGGCAGCGCGCTGAGTCAGCAGCCGCAGGACAGAGCCAGTGCACGCAGGGCAGCTGCAGCAAACCCGTCCTCCCCCTGAAACCAGATGCAAACGGGATCGCTAAGCGGGGCTGCTGCCTCGCTGCCCGTGTGCACTTAGTTAATAAAGTCTCCTTTTTTTTCAATTAAATTATTACCTGTATTATCTGTTAATAAAGTCCGGGAAGGGGGAGCAACCGAGAGGGAGGGGAAACGTGGGGATCCATGGCGCATCCCTCTTCCTCCTGTGAAGGAGGTTAAACGGGAGCACGCAGACTGCCTTCCCAAGATGGGTGCATTGATGGAAAGGCTGGTCTGACAGCCCGTGGGCCCCCCCCCACCCACCCAACCCCCCAGAAACCTGGGGAGCCGAGCCAGCTGCCGGCCAGGAGGCTGCGTGTCCGCGGAGAGTACCCCATCTATCAGCACAATATGGCGCGGAGAGGGGTTTTATGTTGGTGCTAATTCCCCACTAAATCAGTAATGATTACAACCCCGTCCCCGCTGTCTCCCCGCAGCTGTTTTTCCATTTGTCGAGGGAGCGCGTGTTCTCCGAGGACCGCACGCGCTTCTACGGCGCCGAGATCGTGTCGGCGCTGGACTACCTGCACTCGGGCAAGATCGTGTACCGGGACCTCAAGGTAAACGCTCGCCCCAAACAGCCCGCTTGTTTCTGTAGAGAGAGGCCGAGGGACAGACAATGCAATCACAGTCACGCCGCTCCGAGAAAAGCACATTTAGTGGGGCAGAAAGCACTCTGTTTAAGGATGTGGGCACTGCACCTGGGAGGAAATGGCAGTCATTGCTATGGATATCGTTTAAAAGATTTTTTTTAAATATATATTTTATTGATTTCAGAGAGGAAGGGAGAGGGAGAGAGAAAGAAAAACATCAAATGAGGAGAGAGAATCATGGATCGGCTGTCTCCTGCACACCCTACACTGTGGATTGAGCCCACAACCTGGGCATGTGCCTGGAAGGGAACTGTGACCTCCTCGTTCATAGGTTGACGCCCAACCACTGAGCCACACCGGCCTATGTCCGAGATTTTGATGTATAATAATTTCTGCTTGGGTGCCCAGATTAAGTACAATCTACCAATAACAGTCTGAGTTTTCTGTAACTGTGCTGGATGATATTAAACATCTGATTAAAAGTCAAGTAACTTTGCAAGTGACATTTTAAAATGAGCTTCGTTATAAGAGTCTAACATCCGATGATGTATTAGGAAGAAATTTTTATAATAAGACTTTATTGGAGGGAAATATTTGGCTTGATTTCGGTGTTCATTTTTTTTTTGGCGGATTCAACACCTGCAGCATTTTAATATAGCATGGCGTTGGTTTGATTTGCATTTTAAAAAGGGCAGTCACTTCTGCCTCCAGCCAGTCACTTCTGGCCTCCAGCAGCACCGATCCTGGCACTCCCCACAGATTCCATCTTTACTGTAGCAGGAGGAGCGGTACAGGTTTGAGAAGCCATACAGGTAACACAGCTTCGGGTCTTTAAGAGTCTCCTTTTCCTCTGGTCCCAGCAGAGCAGAAGGACCATAGCGCTTTCTTGCCACAACTTCCTGTGCACGGAGCACAGAGGACAGAGATTTCCAGCACTAACATTTTCTCATTCAGACGCCGATCCATTCCCTCTGTCACATAATGCCTGTCCCCTTAAACTGGGTAAAAATGTGCTTTGTTATGGGAACTCCATGAGGCGTATTGGGTAATATGTCCTCTCTCCTGCTCAGGACTGTTAGATGACAACCCTCTGATATGAGTAGGCAGCAAAACCAGATTTCTAATACATAATGCTTCCTCTCAAGCCCCCCGTTTGTCTTCATCATTGCTTTGGCCAGTGGGCGCCTCCATTAGGCATGAGCATAATGCCCTGGTAACGAGGACTGAGTGTGGTGATAAAGCAGATGCACCGAGCTCATCCGGGGAGAGACCCTGGCCATCAGCGACAGCGTGCGTGCTGCAGTCTGTGGCTGACGAAAGGAGGGAGGAAAGCCAGGGCGTTCAGGAGAGAAAGCTGAGGAGAGATCGTTGGTAGATGTGTGCATGCCTTCTTTACTTGGTGGAAGCCTCCGAGGGCGGGAATCCTGTGGTCCTGTGTACGTTAGTGTTAGGTGCGTTAGGAAGTGACGCCCAGGTGTTCCGCTTGGAAAGGACTTCTAGGTGATTGATTCTGCTCATCCTCCACAACACTGATGAGTCTGTATCTATCTATCTATCTATCTATCTATCCATCTATCTATCTATCTACCTACCTATCTATCATCTATCCATCCATCCATCCATCCATCCATCCATCAATTTATCTATTTCAAAGAGAAAGGGAGAAGGAAAGAGATAGAAACATCAATGATCAGAGAAAATCATGGATCGGCTGCCTCCTTTACGCCATACACTGGGGATCGAGTCTGCAACCCAGGCATGTGCCCTGACATAGAATCCAACTGTGACCTCCTGGTTCACAGGTCCATGTTCAACCACTGAGCCATGCCGGCTGGGCTCACTAATGGTCCTTACATGTTCCGGAGAGTTGTTATGCATCTGTGTAAAACACCTATTGTAATAAGACTGGATAGTGAATTACCCTGGCTTATCATATACACTGCATCCGGGGTGTTCTTTTTAAGGTGATTCATACTGTTGGAGGACAAGTTGTTTTTGTCATTGCTGCTCAGCAGAGTGATATTTCAGGATGCTGAGAGTAGAAAAACAGTTGATGGGAAAGGGTGGACACTACTGTACAATAACTGGCTTGAAAGTTATGAAATACTTGTTTTGTTTGTTTATTGCATATTGAGACATGGTTTTGCTTAAGTCACTGAGCTAACAAAAGTGTTTCATAGGGTTTTGTTCTTGAACTTTCTCTTTTTCTTTAAAAAAATGTGTTATCTAGAAAAGCACACACCATTCTAATAATTTACACATCGGCCATTAAATGCTATCCTATATAATAAAAGACCAGCAACCAAATGGCAGAATGACTCGGAATGATCCGTCTACCAGTTGCTGTGATGCACACTGACCACCAGAGGGCAGACACTCACAGGGTGGGTCCACAGCCACTCGCTAACCAGTGGGCTAATCCCCACAAGCCACGCCCCAACCAGTGCACGAATCCTATGCATCCGGCCTCCAGTATTTAATAATGATCAATACAGTCATTGAATGCTTCCAGTGTGTTAAGTTCTGGAGTCAGTATCTCATTTAATTCTCAAAACAATCACATTAGGTTGCTACTGTTATTTGTCTTCGTTTTATAGTTTAAGTTGAGGCACATAGGAGTCAATAGCCTAAGGCAGTGATTGGCAAACTGCAGCTCCGAGATTTGCCGCGCCGTTGACTAATGAGTTTGCCGACCACTGGGACAGGGGCTTAATCACAAGGAACAACAACAGCCTGTAATTATTGGAATGGAGAGTCTAGGTCAGTGATTGGCAAACTCATTAGTCAACAGAGCGGCAAACCACGGCTCCAGAGCCACAGTTTGCCGACCACTGGTCTATACTATAATACACTCCTACATTTAAGCCATTAACATCTTCTTAAAAATTAGGAGCAGGACATGTATGTTTTTATTCAACAAAACAACAGACTCTCCAGTAAATACGTACATTTCTCATCACAGCAAGCTAGCAGAGGGAGGAAGAGAAAGGGGAAAGGGAGGAATCTGGAAGCCTGATGAAGAGATGGACTCGTTGTCATTTGTGCAAATTAGGCTTTTCTTTTAGGTTCCAGCTAGTGGAGAAGCATATGGAAGGCGCAATATTTCTGAATTTAGAGAAAATAAAATTTTTTTTTTGAAACGCTCAGCAGCCTCACTTCGCCGAACTATATGCCATAAAGGAAGGGTGTATGGAGCGTGTAGGTCAGCCAGGGAGCACAATCAGAACCACCCCTGAGGACATAGGTCTGTCTGGTCTTCCTTCAGTGAGCTCAGCTTGCTTTGCTGCATTTAATTTCTGGTTTACAAGACACTGGGTGACAGAACAGTATGATAGCATCCCACTGTATATGCAGTCGTTAATGTTCATATATGGAGTTTTGTTTTGAATTGGATATTGACTTCAGAGTTCAGGTAAGCACTTGCATAGATGGCCACACTGAGGAGTAGAATAAGTTGCCTATTATTTAGAAAGTTAATTTTCATTCATTCTGTTGATAATTTCTCTTGTGTATTTATATCCACATGAGTGGGTAAGGCTATCCGATCACAACTCAGAACCATCTACGTGTGATGACAGTCATAGCTTTGGGTTCAAAATAGGATAGGAAAATGATCAGTTATTGATGCTATTTTCAATGATATTGGGATTTGCACAAACTCTACCCTTGCGTGTCATAATTTTCACTTGAGGCAGATGATCTTGCTTCTTAGTTAAATCTCTGAGATTCTCTTTGGATATGTTTTCATTAATGGCTTCAAAAAGATTCCAGTTGTATAATATTGGTGCTGTATATTTTCATTAACTGTTGACTGTTTGGCTTTGACAGTCTTTACCTTTTTATGTTTGAAAGGGTTGGTATTTCTTTATCACAAAGAACTGCAAAAGAGGATACCACCTTAGCTTTCACAATACGATTTAGGTTTGATTGGTACCCACCATCAAAAAACGTTTCTGTGCGTGACTATTCTATAATAGCAATAGATTCCCAAGAGAACGTGTTGGAAACCATCTGTATGTATCCAGAAAACGATACTCATCTCTTCGGGATTATTTAGGTCACAATTTATTTCCATAAAAAGAGGATTGGTTTCTGCTTTGAAAAATTAGGTGAGCTTTAGTTCTTACACAGTAATGGCTCTGACTCCCATTGGATTAAATAATAGTTTCATCATCAAAATATTTGATAAAACATGTTTCTTTTTATGTATGAACTAGAGGCCCAGTGCATGAAAATCCATGCACTGGGGGTGGGGAAGAGTCCCTTAGCCCCCCTTACAGTCCGGGAGCCCTCAGGGGCAGGAGGCAACTTGGCAATCAGGGGAAAGCGACACCCCATCAAACCTCTGCTGCTGCCACTACCGGCAGCGCAAGCCTCAGCCAGCCCTGGTTACCTGAGCCTTGGGTGGCCCTGGGTGGCTGGGCTGCTGCCATCCGCCATCCGAGGCTTGCCTGCACCTCAGGCAGGCCCTGAGGGGCTGAGGGGACTGGGGGACTCCAGAGGCATGTGTGTGGAGCAGCTGGGCTCGCCTGCAAGCAGGTGGGGCTGAGGGGACTGGGCACTGCCATCTTGTGGCTGTGGGCACCCCCATCTTTGAAGGCGTTGCCGTCTTTGAGGGCGTGGCAACCAATTAACATAGTCCCTCCTTATTGGCTGTGGGTGCCATGTTTGAGGGTGGGACAGCCAATTAGCATATTTCCTCCTTATTGGCTGTGGGTGCCACCATTTTTGTGATGGTGTGAGGGTCAATAGCATATTCCCTCTTTATTAGATAGGATTACAAAACCACAAGGTTTGTAAGTCCGAAAGTTCTGTTAACAACTATGTCCTCTTTCCAAAGTCTCTTTCTCAGCATTCGATAATTGTTTCCAAACAGTATTTTCCTAGCTTGGAAGACTGTAGAATAATCCTTTCATTTTTCTTCCTATGCAGTTGGAGAATTTGATGCTGGATAAAGATGGCCACATAAAAATTACAGATTTCGGACTTTGCAAAGAGGGGATCACTGACACGGCCACCATGAAGACCTTCTGTGGGACCCCGGAGTACCTGGCGCCAGAGGTACTCCACTCAGACAAAAAGGGAACGTTGACCTAATGCTTGCCCAGGAGACATTTCAGCATGAACCAAATCTATTTTTCTTCCACTGTTTAACATTATATTGTAGGGCAAGGATATTTTATAAACTTGATGAACATAAAGGTACTAACTATAGTAGAGTAAGTTCATTTTTAGTTGGCCATATACATTTCATTTTGTGATTAAGCCTTTTAAAAAATGTATATATAATTGATGGTTTACAGAAAGGAAGGGAGAGGGATAGAGAGTTAAAACATCAATCAGCTGCCTCCTGCACTGCCCCTTCCTCCCCCCCTACTGGGGATGTGCCCACAACCAAGGTACATGCCCTTGACCGGAATCGAACCCGGGACTCTTCAGTCTGCAGGCAGACTGAACCAAACCGGTTTTAGCTTAGTGTTTTTTGTCAAGCACCTACATATTTGTTAAACCAGGATAATTTTGAACGTGTTCACTGTTTTAAGAGCAAGCATCTGAGTTCTTCTGGTCTTGGATGTGAACCGTTTCGCTAAGAACACTCATTCATCCACTAAGGACATATTGATGAATATTCATTAGGTGCCATGCATTATGTTAGATGCTGGAATACAAAGATGGTAAGAAATGGTTTTTGTCCTCACGTATTTTCGTGTTTGCTAAGATGATGAGCTATGGAGAATGATTTCTGTGCAGACAGGAACCGCTGGACTGGAGTTGTGCAGGGCGTGGCGGGACTGAAGGAGAGATGGCAGGAGCAGGAAGAGAAGAGGCAGCAGGGGGATGGGGGGATGCAGGCTTAGGCTGGGACTGTGAAGGAGGGAAAATCCTTCGGAATTGAGAGAAGGCCACACTGTGATCAGATGGTCAGTTGGGCGGATCGGCACAAGCTGAACCCTGAAATTTCTTGTACTTCCCTGTGTTAATGCCCACCTTTCTTTAAAAAAAAAAAAAAAATTTTTTTTTGATTGATTTCAGAGAGAGGGAAAGAGAGAAACATTGATGAGAGAGAAACATTGATCAGCTACCTCCTGCATGCCCTCTACTGGGGATCGAGCCTGCAACCCAGTCATGTTGCCCTGACTGCAGATGGAACTGGTCCCCTCCCGGTGCATGGGCTAATGCTCAACCACTGAGCCACATGGGCCAGACTTTCCTTGAGGGCATGGAACTGGGAGTTGTGTGTCAGACCTGGATGCAGTGCTGGGCACTGGTGCTCTGGGGAACGGCTCCCTGTCAGCCTTTCCCCTCCTCTTGCTGAGGCTGCGTCCTCCACCCCCATCTTCCAGACCCCCCTTCCCGCACCATCTGCATGGTCTTATCTGCCAGAAGTGCTGTGCTGTGGAAAGACAGGTGAAAGGCATTTAAAAGGTGCTTCAGAAAGGCTGTGAAAAGTCAGCTCAGCCCGCTTAACGTGCTCTGTGGCAGATTCACTGCTGATGTTTAAGTAAACTTAATTTTTTGTTTGTTTGTTTGTTTTTTATATTTATTTTATTGATTTTTTTACAGAGAGGAAGGGAGAGAGATAGAGAGCCAGAAACATTGATGAGAGAGAAACATCGACCAGCTGCCTCCTGCACACCCCTCACCGGGGATGTGCCCACAACCAACGTACATGCCCTTGACCGGAATCGAACCTGGGACCTTTCAGTCCGCAGACCGACGCTCTACCACTGAGCCAAACCGGTTTCGGCAAGTAAACTTAAGTTTTAAATGAGCTTAAGTTTCTCCTGTGGCAAAGACCCATCAGGAAAGATAAGTGTAAAAAGGCCATTTGTTGAAAAAAGAATATTTTTGAAATATTTGTTCTCCGAGGTCTTTGGATGAATCATGGATCTTTAGTGTTAGAGGACATGTGAGGCTGGGAATAATGTATTTTTCAAGAGATGAAGTTACAGCGCAAAAACGCACTTGCCCACGTAGTCAGAAATGAATGCGCTTTTCGCTCTTACTGCCACTGGAAGAAAATAAACCCGACCTGCCATCCATTATGGACAATAATATATTTTGAGGGGAATTTGTTTTTTGCAGACTCTCCTCTTCACTCCTCGAAATGATTAAAAAAAAAAAATTAGAAATCACACATCAGACCTTCCTGTTAAGGTTTATTATCCGAGCTGGCTCTCGCCACCGCATCCAAGCCACTTTATGCAGCGCTAATTATTTAGTCTCAGTTTTGCTCTTGAGTTAGCAGTACCTGATCAGCCCTCCAACTGCAAAACAGCCTGAAAATCAAATGCGGCTCACATGCAAGACCCAACAAAATTAAAAGTGTTAAGTGCGTTTTGGCAGTTCACTTTTATTATGCCCAGTCCTCAAATGTACCGGCGGGCCGTCATCTGCACGTTAGTTATTTTTCACGTGTTTATGCGATCGCACAAAAAGTACACGCTAAAGGGAAGCAGATGGTGACAGATGGGGGAGGTTGAATAAGGTGGTTTTGGAAGCCCAGAGAAATGCACTTCTGTAATCGTGTAAAAATAAAAATTATTTGATAATCAAGTTAGAACTAACAAAAAGATGGCAAGGAAAAAAAGAGAGAGAGAGAGACTGGATGGTTGGGAATTGCTATTCAGAGAAAACGCGTTTATAATTTTGTTTCAGATCACAGAAACCATTTTTTGTTGAAAATGTATTGTTGATGCCTTTTTAGATGTTAGAACCTCATTTTTTAGAGACCATCCACTTACTGTCTTTGTATCCATTTTTCTTTTGAAACCTACTCTTCTTTAATACATTTTATATAATCCCGATTTTGAAAATATCTGAAATAGACCAGGATATTTTGATGCAAAGATTCACTCAGAGCCATTGTGATGCTGTATAGATAATAGTAGAAATGGAAATTAGATTCTATTATAGAGGGGATCTAAAACCAGAGATCAATATGACTACCTCAGAACGAATTGGGAAAAACATGTAAATGACAGGCCAAGGTCATTGGTGGCATGGAGCGGTGCAGGCAGGGGGCGTGGTTGGAACCAAACTAGGCTTAAATGTATTGAATGGAATTTTATTCACTTATTTCAAATGCAGCAAGAAGAAATGTGAAAGGTGCCATTGTATGGGCTCTCTCAGTACTGTCGTTAGGAGATCTAAGAGAAATAAAGGAGGAGGCCCAGGTTATTGAACGTTTGCACGTTTCATCTGTAGATAAACAGCAGCTCGCACACTCGCATGTACTTAGCCCCCAGATGCAATCCTGCTCTTTCTACCAGATTGTGGAGCTGAGCCTTAACACTTGTAAGGTTTCTGTGAAAACGAAAAATGGTATTGGTAGCCTCCCTAATACTTCGTTTCACCATGAAAAATTCATGGAACACTTGTCTCCGGAGGGATGCTGGAACGCCTTCGCCTCCCGCAGGGTTCTGTGAAGGGCACATCCATGTTCATGGTGGTCGGTTCAGGTGGAAGGTGTGTGCTTTGTGGTCAGAATTCATACGTAAGCACTTGTCAGATGTCCGGCTCACTGCTGGTACTGTTTCCGGATCCTATTCAAAACCATCCCATTTTGTCCCCAGATTGGACACTTAGAAGAAAAAGTAAATACATATATTTTTATATATTTAAATATATATAAAACAAAAATAAATATATTTATTTTAAAAATATATACTTACATATATGTAAAATAAAGAATAAATATACTTATTTTAAAAATATATATTTAGCCGAAACCGGTTTGGCTGAGTGGATAGAGCGTCGGCCTGTGCATTGAAAGGTCCCGGGTTTGATTCCTGTCAAGGGCATGTGCCTTGGTTGCGGGCACATCCCCAGTGAGGCGTGTGCAGGAGGCAGCTGGTCGATGATTCTCTCTCTCATCAATGTTTCTAGCTCTCTATCCCTCTCCCTTCCTCTCTGTAAAAAATCAATAAAAATATATTAAAGAAAAGAAAAGAAAAATATATATTTAAATATATATAAAATATATTTTTTAATTGATTTCAGAAAAGAAGGGAGAGAGAGAGAAATATCAATGATGAGAGAGAATCATTGATCGGCTGCCTCCTTGCACGCCCCACACGGGATCGAGCCCACAACCTGGGCATGTGCCCTGCCCGGGAATCAAACTATGACCTCCTGGTTCATAGGTCAGTGCTCAACCACTGAGCCACGCTGGCTGGACCCAAATTGAACACTTAAAATATGAACCTAAATGATACTTTTTAGTTCAGTGTTGATGTCTGTTAGTGTTTAGAAGCAGCAGCTTTTACTTGCCTGGCGATCTGAAAGTTCTGTAGTCTATTTTTCACTTGAAATTTTTACAATGTTTTGTGGTCTTTTGGACTTAATTTGCATTTAGCACTTTGGAATGGCTGCAGGTTAGCATCAAGTTTAATTTTAAATTCTCCGAAGCTTAAGAACATGTACAAAACTAACGGCTAGCTGGTAACCTGCAGTATTTGACAGTGGCTGTTTTCACTGGGGTAGCAAAGCCCCAGTTTTTTCAAAATCCCATGATGTCTGATGCTTCCGGATGAAAAGAAGCATAGACATCCCTGGGAGGGAAGACATGTGTCAGCATGATTTAGTCACCAGCATTGCATCCATCAGGGATGTTTGTCGCCTGTTCTGGCCACAGATTGCTTTTGTAGCCCCATGTTAGCTGCATGCAGGGAGAGTGTGCTTGCGGGGAGGTAGCCAGAAGCCACGGCATTCTGGGTCCCAGCAGGGGGCAGCTACAATCTCTCAGGAATTATTAGAGCAGGTGACAGTATGTTCTTATGAACACCATACCAGGAAACACGGAATCCTTAATTCTTATAAAAGTTATACTTCCCCCAAAGCTGCAGTCCGTTTCAGCATCTGAATTAGGATATTTATAGGTCTTTTTTTTTTTTTTAAAGCAAATTCTCGTGATGGGAAGGATTCCCATAAAAGAGAAAGCGTGTCTGCGTATGTACGTATAAAACACACACCCATCCGCTACCTGAAACGTATGGGCACCAGGAAAAAAAAAAAAAGTTTGAATTAGCGGTAAATTGGTTCATCCAAGTTCACAGTTTACTTTCACAGCCTAGGTGTGCAGACAGTGTGTTCAGACGTTCCGTCCCTCCCCCGCCCATCTGCTCCGTCTGGATTACTGTCGAGCAGTGGGCCACTCTGGGGTACACATCATCCCCTTATCTCTGCTTGCCTCGGGTGCGTGGATGGCCTGGGCGTATACGCTCCAAGAGGCATCCTTCCGGTCTCCCAGCAAACCCTAACTGGTAAAAGGATATTGGAATGAATATGTGTGTTTTCTAAGTGACCATTAACCAAATAAATGTTTACATTGGGAACTTCCATTGATGGTATCATTTTAAGACATGGTGTATTAGTGAATTTGTTTAAATCAATAGCCATGCAAGAGCTCAATGTGCCCGCAACCGAGGTGCATGCCCTTGACCGGAATCGAACCTGGGACCCTTCATTCCGCAGGCAGACGCACTATCCACTGAGCTAAACTGGTTTTGGCGTAAATCAACCTTTTTGCTGGGGAGCAAAAAAATCATGAGAGGCAGCCAGAAGGAATGGCAACTCTCAGGTTAAAGAATATAAATTTTATATGTTTCTGTAATTGTGAAAAAGGAAGTGCTCTGAGTAAGGGAGAAAATTATCTTCTAGAAGTAATATACAAGAGGCTGTGGATTTTACGTTCACTCTGGAATTTCTAGAGTTTTTCCAAGTATTGCGGTTTGAAATAATTTATATGTAAGGAGTGCGGAAGGAGAGTATGTGAATGTAGCATGTTTTATAATATGCTAGTATATTCACGTGTAGAATATTGGAGTCACTTTCATCTCTCATCTATTTCTTTGCCCAGCTGTTTGGAGGGAGGAGTTGAACAGAAATCTTTCTTTGGAATTGACAGCACAGACACTTAGATCTTAGGGCGGTTCCTCCTTAACATAGCTTAAGCTTGTGTGTCAAAAAGGTAACACATCGCATCAGATTTGTTCAGGGCAAAGCGATACTGCATTACATCTATATGTCAGAGCACATTGTGTTCAAAAGCAAACCACTTAGTTGGAGAATCAGTGTTCATTTTACAAACCCAAATAAAATGCATTTTATTTTATCAAACAGATTTTTGTACAATGCAGTTTTATTTTTTCAGATGCTTATTTCTCTTCAAAAAATACCCCCCTTTTACATATATATATATATATATATATATATATATATATATATATATATATATATATATAATGTACTCACTTTCCCTTCTGGCTGCAAACCAGGTATTTAAGCAAAAATAAAGGATTGCCAGTTTTGCCAGCTGGGGACGAGAACCCGGCTGGTGAAACGTGGGTTCGGGAGGCAGTGAATCCAGCTTTTATGCTTTTTATGGTTTTGTGAAAAAAGAGGTTAAAAACCACATTTGGCTCGCTGTGTGTGCCACTGTTTTGCTGGTGGTGGAGGAATGCCGAGATTTTAAATTTTTTTTGTTCTTAGGTAAAATCCTGAATCTATTTGCAAAAGGCCCACAAACAATACAATCCATTGTACTAATCGGGCATGAGATAGACTCTTGAATAATCGAAAGTCACTGGCATTGAAAAATTAGCTGTCACAGCATTTCCTCTAAGTACACAAGTAGGATGTCTCGCTTCTTTAGATTTTTTTTCTCGTTTTCTTATGTTCTCACATTCCTCATCTCGAGCAAATAGATATTTGAAATATTTTGGGCTAACGATGAAAATGAGAATTTGTTGTTTTTCCCGAAAATTTTTGCTTCGCTGTGATTTCCGGAAGATTTTTGGGAAATGTCGGAGCTAGACTGGAGTTCTTTCTTGCCAGTGTTGTCCCAGGCTGCTTTAGCCACGAACTGTGATAACAGTCGCATTAAAATTTTTTTCATAGCCCTTGAAAATACCACTAAATATCTTTTAAGTAACATAGTTTTTTCTTGAAATCATACGCTCCATCTTTTTAAAAAATATATTTGATTTTTTTACAGAGAGGAAGGGAGAGGGAGATAGAGTTAGAAACATCAATGAGAGAGAAACATCGATCAGCTGCCTCCTGCACACCTCCCACTGGGGATGTGCCCACAACCCAGGTACATGCCCTTGACCGGAATCAAACCTGGGACCCTTCAGTTTGCAGGCCAACGCTCTATCCACTGAGCCACACTGTTTAGGGCATGCTCCATCTTTAAATACCTGGTGAGCCAAAGGTCCTTAACTGTCAATATGTCACGTGGGATTCCATGGAAGTATTGGTAAATTTTAAATAAAACTCACATCAGAGTCATCGAATGCTCTTACGTAATCAGTTGTAAGATTTTTTTAATTGATAAATTTCATAGGTATGGTTTTCTTGATCTGTTTATCCCAGAGCTAAGAGGATCACAAGTAAGCTTTAAGATTATTCAAATATAATTTAAAATAAAATATATCCACATATATATATGCAAATAAATGAAGAAAATTCTATTGAATGCGAAGCAAATCTAATTTTTAAAAAATGATCAGAATTTTCCTGGGACAGCCCTAGCTGGTTTGGCTCAGTGGATAGAGTGTCTGCCTGCAGACTGAGGGACCCTCGTTCTATTCTGGTCCAGGGCACATGCCCAGGTTGTGGGCTCAATCCCCAATAGGGGGTGAGTAGAAGGTAGGCATTCAATGATTCTCTCTCTTCATAATGTTTCTCTTTCTCTCTCTTCCTCTAAAATCAATAAAAATATATTTTTAATATTTTTTAATGGGACAAATAGCAAGTTATCATGTTCCGATGGGAACAGGTTGCTCTAACAGAGCCTGATGCTTTCATATCATTTCTTACTAAATTAATTTTGCGTGCAATGTATTCTGCAAAACAAATTTAAGGCATAAAGCCCTGGTGGTTGTGGTTCAGTGGTTAGAGCATCAGCTGGCACACCCAAGTATCTCAAGTTTGATTCCTGGTCAAGGGCATGTACCTGGGTTTCGGGTTCTCTTCCCGCCCCCAGTTGGGAGGCGTGCAGGAGGCAACCAGTCAATGTATCTCTCTCACATCGATGTTTCTCTCTCTTTCTCTTTCCCTCCCTCCGCCCCACTCTCTCTGACAAGCAATGGAAAAAAAACATCCTCATGTGAGGATAAACAAACAAAAAGAAGTTAGGGTGTATGGTACACTGGTATTGAGTCCCCGATTTTGTTTGTGTTTAACAGAAATTGCCACTGGGTACGTAAGCTTTGGATACTCAAGTTTATTAGTTCAAACCACAGATCTTCAGACTCGCTGGCGGCTGCCGCATTGGGGGCCTCCATCGTTCTAGCAGCCCTGCCCTGCGTGCTCCTCCGTGACACTGCCCCTTCCCTCCTGTCTTCCACGTGTGATCCATGTCCCCTAGTTCTCCTCAATTAGGAATACGCAAGGCATGTCCTGTGTCCCCCTGTCAGCATGGCTCAGCTCTAAGCTGCCACTTAAAGGTGAACCAACCTGGACAGTGAACCGGGCCTGAGAGACAACGTGCAGGCCTGCTGACGGCCTATCTGGTCCTCGGCCCATGCACGTCTGCCTGCCCTTGGCCTTGGTTGTCTGATACACCCCTTATGTCTACGCTGACCGTCTCTGGGAATATATCCATCCTTTCAAATAGTCGGTGTGATTGACATCTTTGGAGGATGCTTCATGTCCAAAGATCAAGATCTAAACGTTGCTACCGAAAGCCATTTGGCTCAGTGGATAGAGCGTCGGCCTGCGGGCTGAAGGGTCCCGGGTTCGATTCCGGTCAAGGGCATGTACCTTGGTTGCGGGCACATCCCCTGTGGGGGAGTGTGCAGGAGGCAGCTGGTCAATGCTTCTCTCTCATCGATGTTTCTAACTCTCTGTCCCTCTCTCTTCCTCTCTGTAAAAAAAAAAAAAAAAAAAAAATCAATAAAAATATATATATTTTTAAAAATCCAAACATGGCTCACGTAGGCTATAAGAGTGAGGATCCATTTTCCCGTGAACGTCCCGTGTTCTGTAAACGCGTGGCATTTGGCGTTGAAGGTGCGGCCGCTCATCGTCTCCCCGCTCTCGCTCGCTCGCTCTCAGGTGCTGGAGGACAACGACTACGGCCGGGCGGTGGACTGGTGGGGGCTGGGCGTCGTCATGTACGAGATGATGTGCGGGCGGCTGCCCTTCTACAACCAGGACCACGAGAAGCTGTTCGAGCTGATCCTGATGGAGGACATCAAGTTCCCCCGCACGCTCTCCTCTGACGCCAAGTCACTGCTGTCCGGGCTCTTGATAAAGGATCCAAACAAACGGTAGGTGGGCCGAGCACCACGCCCGGCGAGCGGGTGTGAGAGGGAGATGAGCGCCCGTGGGCCTCCTCCAAGTAGCCATGGCTTCGGGGTAGAGGTCCCCCCGACGGGGGCGCAGGCTTGTTTTTAACTGCGGGGCGTAGAATGTTTAAAAAACCGGTTTGACTCAGTGGTTAGAGCATGGGCCTGTGGACTGAAGGGTCCCGGGTTCGATTCCGGTCAAGGGCATGTACCTTGGTTGCGGACACATCTCCAGTGGGGGGCGTGCAGGAGATGAATGTGGACTGAAAGGGGCCCGGTAAGTAGGACGACAACTCTTAGAGGTTTGAGCCCCCGGAGATTGGCATTGCCTACAGAGAAGGTGTGTTCTGGATTGTCTGCTGGTTCCTTCTACAGTCGCTGTATGTAGCAAGCCCTCCGTCTGCAGTAAAATATGGGGAAGGCAAAGATGAACACCGAGTAACCCCCCCGTTTTGGGGTTTGAGGAATGATTGGGGCACAAAGCATGTGCTCACGATGCTCAGGTCACACCACGCAGAAGTTGCTTTTGAGGTGATTAGCCCGTCTGGGGGGTTGGAAGCCTTGAGCTGGCTCAGAAGGGCTTGGGGTTTGCACAGGGGTTCCCACGAGCAATGACATGTAAAGAGCAGCTGGCATCGCCAGTGACCACGGGGTAAGCGACTGCTCGCAGTGCGGAATGCGAGTTTGGGTAACATGGGGCGACGAAGCTGGCATGTTAGATTGGAAGGACCTTCCGTTTCTTAGAAAATGTTTGATCTTTGTTCAGAAGAGGATGAGATGCCACTGAGTTAGTTATTAAAGGACAATAATCTGGCTTGTGTTATGAGAAGGTGCCTCGGGCTGACCTGGGTGGATGGGAGCAGTGAGGGCCGGGGCAGGGAGGCAGAGCAGGTGAGAGAGGGTTCCCAGGGTCCAGATAAGGGGGTCCTTCCTGCAGCAGAGGTCTCGGGGCGAGAAGTAGAACTTGGTGATGATGACAGAGACTCAAAGACATGGAGAAAATCGGAGACCCGCGGCTCTCCAGCCTGGCGCTGGTCTGGAGAACGGACAGGTATGAAGAGGTGACGTACAGGCAAAGAGAAAATGCATTCTTCCCGTCCCGCATCCCTTATACCTGATGATAACCAGGACTCAGTAGGTTGGCACAGTTGGTGGTTTTCCTCAACTATATGTTTGCTTTCGAGCCCGTGTGCCAGCTCATAAGAGCCAGTTGTTAACATTTCAAGAATCGTGTGAGCTGGTTGTTCAACGCAGTCATTATTAAAAGCTAAGTTATACAGCCCAGCCGGTGTGGCTCAGTGGTTGAGTGTCAACCTATAAACCAGGAGGTCACATGCTCGGGTTGCAGGCTTGATTCCTGGTGTGGGCCCTGCAGGAGGCAAATGATTCTTTCTCAATCTCTCCCTTCCTCTCTGAAATCAATAAAAAAAAAAAAAATTAAAAACTAAGATATATAAATTTATAAATTAATATTAATATCAAAGATAATAAATACTCAAAACTCATCCCTCCGTAAGAATTTTGTCACATTTTACTGTTGGCCCTGCTGGGAGTATTTACATCATCAGAATTGGCAAACACTCTCAAGTCAGGGCTTGATTGATTGTTTTGTCGGTCATTTAGACTAGAGGCTTCCTAAAATGATATTGGCTTATAGAATTGACAGTGATAACAGCTACCACTTGCTGTGCTATTACTTACTGATTTCTAATCCCTGTAATAACCACCGGGCTGGGATTATCACCCCCATTCTACAGAGGAGTAAACTGAGGGTAATTAAGGTTTTCATTGTCACACATCCCAGAAGTTCCGGAGATGATTGCTCAGTTCAGGTGTATCACCAAAGCCCATGCTCTTTTCAGATACCATCCGGTCTTGAGAGGAGTTCCTGTTAATTAATAGCATAATAGGGAAATGAGGGCTTACACCGAAAGGTTTTTATTTTTTATAGCTATTCATCACAAGAACCACTTACCGCACAGAAAATCACATTTCACAAAGACTTGTGTTCTGCACTGGCTCATGCAAGTGACTCATGCTCATTTAATTTTATTCCTGTCTGCACAGCCTTGGCGGAGGACCAGACGATTCAAAAGAAATTATGAGACACAGTTTCTTCTCTGGAGTAAACTGGCAAGATGTATACGATAAAAAGGTAGGTTATCTCCGTGCCACGGTGTCTGTCTATTGTGGCTAAAATGAATTTTGCATCCAAAAAAAATGTGAGTCAAATTTAATAATAGCATGGTATTTTTCATTTTTTTAACCTGTCATTTAATTGAATATTGAACTTCTAGCACGCAGTCTTATTGATAATTTCGACTCCCAAAACACACCTTGAAATTCTACTCAGTATGGTGAAACAGTTGATTTTTCTTCAGCAGTACTCTTCCTTCCTTGGAGATGCAGGTTTCTTTCTAATATTATTCCACTTTAGCCAAAAAAATGTTCCATGATCATTTCTTTTTTCTTTTTTTTTTTTTTAATAAGTTTTATTGATTTCAGAGAGGAAGGGAGAGAGAGAGAAAGAGAGAGACAGAAACATTAATGATGAGAGTGAATCATCGATCAGCTGCCTCCATCATGCCCTCTACTGGGGATTGAGCCCCCAACCCGGGCATGTGCCTTGACTGGGAATTGAACCATGACCTCCCGGTTTATAGGTCGATGCTCAACCACTGAGCCACGGCTAGGCAACCCTGTCATTTTTAAAAGACGCAAATAATTTAAGTCGTGCTCTTAGGATGAAAGGGAATTAATTGACTTACACATGAAAACAGAAAGATATATGGAAAATCCCCAAGTATTTGGAAATTTGAAGTTTAAATAATTCGTGCGTTACAGGAGAAACAAAAAAGGAAACGTGGATCATCATGGCGTCCCTTACACTCACCAGTTCGTTCCCTGCTCTTCAGTTGTATCCTAAAGTTAACCTCCCTGCACTGAAATCTGTTCTCCCACACTTTTTCTTTCTTTGTACAGCTTGTACCTCCTTTTAAGCCTCAAGTAACATCTGAGACAGATACCAGATATTTTGATGAAGAATTTACAGCTCAGACTATTACAATAACACCACCTGAAAAATGTGAGTAAACCTTGAAGGCGATTCATAACACTCCGATGTAACAGAAGAAAAAAAAAAGTTGTTTTTATTAGATACTAGAGTAGAGGCCCGGTGCATGACATTCGTGCACTGGGTGGGGGGATGCGGGTTGGGGGTTCCTCAGCCGGACCTGCAGGAACCCCCAACAAATCCCCGAGTTTCCTGTGTCAGGGAATGAGCCTCGTCCTGTGGGCTCGGGCGTGCGGGATGCGAGAACCTTTTTTACTGTAAAAGGGAAGAAACGGAAATCTTGCTTTATAGACAGAGGTGTGTTCTGGGAACAGGCCAGCAGTAAGGAGGCGGTGTGTTCCTCTGTGCACACCGCTGCCCGCCCACCCGCTCGCCCTGCCTGCCGGTGTGTGTTAGTTACGGGGCAGCCTGGAGGGCGGCGCTGGCGTTCCTGCGCTCCTGTCTCTGCCCTCTGCGGTAGGAGGTGCCGGTGACCCAGAAGCTTCCGCTGCCCCTATGGCATCTGGGAAAGGTCCGAGAAGAGGGGCGCAGGAGCAGGGGTGCAGGCGGGCGTGGCCTGAGCCTCCGGCTTCTTCCTCCAGGTCCTTCTAGCCTCCTTCCTGCTCGTTATCACACTGCTCCCTGTGCACCTCCTAGCAGAGCGTGAACGGGTGCTCGGCCCGACGGGGCGGACTGTGTGTGTGGCCTGTAGGTCGCCGCGCTGTCACTGCTACTTGCTCCTGGCCCTCTCACCCCCACTCGCCTGTCTGTGCTGTGCAGTGACCTACGGCCTCACTCTCCCAGGCCTGCACGGTCAGGGACGTCCCCGGCTTTAAGGATGCTGGAGGGCAAGAGGTTACCCCCAAGGGTTAGGGTTCTGAGCCATAAGAAATGGGTTTAATTCGTTTCCCGGGCAGAGACACGCTCAGCAAAGCAAGCTGTTGGTGGGAAAACGGGTTCTCTGGCACACGATTGGCACCTGTCAGAGTCGGGATGTTAGGCTCCCGCTGCCTCTCCTCCGGGGAGTTTGACGTGACGTGACTCAGTGACCGTCCGCAGCCCGTGTGCCCAGCGGGGCTGACAGCACCGCGGACGGCAGTGCCTTGGAAAGGTGCGTCTGCTTGGTCCTGAGCAGAGTTTAGCAGCAGGAGGCGGATTCCCTTTAGGCACAGCGTCACCCAGAAGTGCGTGGCCAAGGAGCAGGACCAGGGCGCTGCCTCACGGTTGGATCGAAGGGTCCCGGGTTTTATTCCGGTCAAGGGCACAGGCTCCAGGCCCTGGTCCCAGGCCTGCCAGAGGCAACCAATTGATGTGTGTCTCTGACACCGTGTGTCTCTGTCTCTCCCTCTCCCTTCCACTCTCTAAAAATCAATGGGGAAATATCCTTGGGTGAGGATTTAAAAAAAAAAAAAAGTAGAAGGCAGAAAAGGCGAGCATGGCAGAAGAGCAGGAAGCGTTATCTTTAGTGCCCACCTCGCCCCGTACCGGGAGCCTGGCCATGTCCTTTCTCCCATCCGCCGGGCGCCCCCGAGAGGCTGGGCCGAAGGAACGGGCTGTGCGTGTGCGTTGGAGGCAGGGGAGGGGTTCTGCTGGAGGAAAAGCAGGTTGGGCATTTGAGGGATTCCTCACTTCGTTCCCTGTGGTCGTGCAGTCCAATGGGGGAGACCTCCTGGGGCCCCCTCAGGCAGGGAGCCCAGGGGCGGGGCCGGGAGCAGAAGCGCAGGGGAAGTTGTGGTGAAGGCCAGCACCTCCTCAGAACTCTGATGGGGTGATGGGTGATCATCTGAGATCAGGACAATCCTTCACACACAGGAATCCTGAGACGTGAAGGGGGAGTGGCCCCACCCGGAGCCAGCAGCTGCCTGGGCCTCCCATCCGTTCCCCGTGCCTGGTCCTGGCGCAGCCTCCTGTCCTGTCTCTCTCTCTCCATTCTGGTCTCACATTCGGTCCTAGGAAAACGGCCAGACAGGCAGGGCAGGTAGCAGATGTACAATAGACGTGAACTCTTAAACACCTGCACGGGCCCAGATGAAACGGAATCCTGGCGCTGCATTTGCAGTCACAGCTAAAGCGAGGGACAGAAAGCACTGACATTTCAGAGATCAATTTCAGGAGCTGATCAGGAGTCTCGGGAGCCCACGGGTGCTGGGGGGCCCTTCTAACTCATGTAACACTCTGGATCCCTCTGTAGTGTTCAGATTATTGAGTCTCAGACTGTGTGTGTCATGAAGGAAGTGACTTGCTAGTATCATGTCCTCCCAGATCACGTGTTTGGAAATGGGAGGCGTTTGAAACAGGTTTCCCTGCTGTGTGTTTTATGGACAAACACAAGTGTCTAGAAGCTATTGCCTCTGCATCTTCATTATCTAGAAGTTAGGACCGTATGGACCAGAGATGGCGTTGCCAAAAGCAAGTGTCGCCTGGCCAGTGTGGTTCAGTAGTGGGGCTTCAACCTATGAACCAGGAAGTCACGGTTTGATTCCCGGTCAGGGAACACGCCTGGATTGTGGGCTCGATCCCCACTTGGGAGGGGAGGATGTGCAGGAGGCAGCATCTCTCATCACTGATGTTTCTCCCCGTCTCCCTTCCTCTCTGAAGTCAATAAACACACACACACACACACACACATATATATATATAATATATATATATTTTTTTAAAGCGTAAGATTGAAATGACTGTTTCTGCCCGCAGACGATGAGGACGGCATGGACAACGAGAACCGGCCGCACTTCCCTCAGTTCTCCTACTCGGCGAGCGGCCGCGAGTAGGCCCCGCGCTGCTGCCCGAGACTCACCCCGAGATCGGCTGCGGGACGGCGGGCAGTCCGGCCCCTCCCTCCGCGGGCGCCTCCAGACACCCCGACCGACCGACCGACCGACCGGCCAACCGGCCGGCCGGCCCGCCCCGCCCTCGCCACCTCCACCCACCTGAGAACACACATATACGCAAATACACTCGACTTTCCGTTTTTTTGCATGAAATTGTATCTCAGTCTAAGGTCTCATGCTGTTGCTGCTGCTGTCTCACTCTTAGAGCAACTCTCCGAGGTCGCCGCCCGGCCCCGGGAGCCATGAGCCCTCGCCGCCCGTCCGCCCGCTGGCACCTCCTGTCTCCCGCTGTGGCTTCTCTCCGGCAGCGGAGGGTCAACGAGATACACGGACGCTAGGTACATTTTTTATTTTTTAACTCTCTAGCAGCTACACCAGAACCTAACGAGCCTGAGAAGACGCAGGGTGTGATTCAGAGCGAGCCACGGCGGCCGGTGCGGGAGAGCCCGGTGGCAGAGCAGAGCCCGGCGCAGCCGGCGGTCACGGCCACGGTCACGGCCACGGCCACCGCCGTCCGGCCCACGCCCGTCAGGAAGATCTGCGAGGACTGCCCGTCGGGCGGGGTGTGGCCTCTCCCGGCGCCTGCATCCACGTTCCTGTTGGATCCCGTAGAGGAAGACATGGACGTCCAGACCTCCCAGGCAGATGGCAGAGGAACACGGAAGGCAGGCAGGAAGGAAGCAGATGTGCAGCCGAGTCAAGGTCATTCCAAGGTCGCTGGTGGCGCCGGCACCCAGAGAGCCCCGCTTCCCTGGCGCTGGGAAACCGTATTCCATCGCCTGACCGACCGCCTCTGACGGCTGAGAAGGCAGGCGGGCGGAACGGTCCTGCTTGTCACCAGAACGCGTCCCCCGAGGTCCGTGAGTCTCTTTGCCTTTCCCGTTGCAGTTCCGCGTGAGTTGGCTTTTCCTCGGACGGACGTCAGAACTCCGAATGCCCTCTCGTGACTCCGTTCCTCTCGCAGTAGTATTTATTTTTTAGTGACGAGAATCGCCGTCGCGGCCCCGACGTAACCCAGAGCGGACGCGCCGCCGCGGTTCCCTCCGCCCCGCGTGCGGGGGACAGGCCGGCCAGCAGGACTCCGCGCCTTCCCTCCTTCGAGAGAGATGGCTTTGGCCTTGGACTTTGTCGAGGCTCCGGGACGGGACTCGCCGGGTAGGACCTGGTTTCGGGAGAAGAGACGCTGCCCGCCGACCCCTTGGTGCTAAGAACGAGAACATCCCCAGCTCGCCCACGCCCATGGGGTCACGACGCAGACCCAGGGCTGCTGTCTGCTCCGCCGAGAAGGGAGGAGTCGGGACGGCCAGGCCGCCAGAGCAGAAACGCACACGGAGTCCGGAGTGACGCCACGTGAACCCACCCGGCCGAGTGGACGCATCGCAAGTCCTGGCCACGGAGGCAGGGGAAGCTAAGAGCCCGGTGTGCGTGTGCGTGCGTGTGTTCTGATCATGGTACATTCATCGCCGAATCAAGCCATCAGGGAAACAAAACAACACCCAAAAGGAACACCTCCAGCCGTCCCCTCTCTGTATATACTCCCGTCCCCACGCTGCCCTGCCCCCCACCGGCGGGGGGCGCGTATGCAAACCTCATCTTCCTCCTCCATCGACGACGATCTTCAGACTAAACCCTTTGGTGCTAGGAGCTGACCTTTTCCAAAGCAGCCGAGGAGACCCAGGCCGGGGCCTCCCGGGGCGATCCTGGAGGTGTGTTTCCTTCAGGTCAGCTCTCCGAGCTCCCACACGGAAGGCCACGGTGTGGCGCAGGCTGGTGACCGAGGGGGGGGCAGGCGATGGCCGAGCGGGGTGCCTCATACTCACACGCAGCTGTCTTAGCCGCGGCGCCAGGAGTGGACGTGCGTACGGGAAACCACTGCCGGCGAGGGTGGCCCGCTGGGACCGCCGGGGGTCAAAGGGCATTTTCCTAAGGCAGCTAAGACATATTCCACGTAGACGTTATCCTGAGTTTTCATATCTCTACCTGAGTGAGGTCCATCCTTAGTAGGAAGTTGCAGTCATTGGTAGTTCATTTCTTACACACATATCGCTCAACTTTTTATTTTTTATTTTTCCACTTGGAATTATGTTGAATGTTTCACATGGACAAGAAGGTAGACTAGAAGGTATGTCTTGTACGTTGTCTTGCATTCATTTGGTTTTTTTTAAAAAAAAAAAAAAAAAAGACACACACACAACAACTACAGGTGAGAGGAAGGGGAGAGAGCTGGGACTGGCTGCCCGCGGCCCGGGCTCCCTCCGTGGGACTCCACACACTAAGCACATCGGTAGCTTTCTCTTTGTTTCTTTCCACACACGAAGGTGATTCCCATGACCTTGGCCAAGAGACCCGAGGCAGCGCCGACAGCGCCCGGGCTGGCCACTCCTCACCGCCGGTGCTCGGGCCCGTCGCCGGCCCCCAGGGCTCCTGAGGGTCCTCCCAGGTGTCCCCTTGGCCTTGATCTTGAGAATCACCCTTCCCGGGGCTCCCAGATGTCAGTCAGCCGGCCGGAGGCAGAGCGGAGAGAGGGGCCTAGGCAGAGGGGTTCTCACGGTTTGGATTCCGCCCGTGGCCAGGCCCGAGCCCCGGAGTCGTCCTCAGCGCAGGCGGGACGGTGCGGGTGCCGCCTTGAACTGGACACCCGTGACCTCTGCCCCCTCGGAGGACCTCGGCCCCCCCCCCACCCCCCCCCCCCCCGCCGCGTGGAGGCGGGCAGGGCAGCTCACAGCTTCGCTTCCCACACGATCGCACACCCAGTACCGTGTCCCCCCTCCCGTCCCCACCGGGGGGCGGGGGGGTCTCTGGCTTCTCAAAGCTGACTGTTCTCTCGGGGGGGCCCCTTGCTTCTCCGGGGGACGGAGCAAGGACCCCCCCCCCCCTCCTCCTAACTGCAGGGTCTCCACACACCTCAGTGTCCACACTTTGCTGCTACTGTTCGTACCGTCTCCGGTAGAATCTCCTCATCCTGCTCCTGGGGAGTGCATTGCAGGCGAGCATGAAATGTAAAGTATTTATTTAAATAAAAAGAGAACCTCTCCATTAGCGTTAGCGTTTGTGTGACATCTCCTGACCTTGCTAGTTTCTCTCGTTAGATCCGCGCAAGATCTCGTCACCGGCGAAGGGCGTCTGTCGGCAGACGCCGCGACGAGCCCAAGGAACTGTGTCCTCCCCACGACTGTCGGTCACCCCGAAACCGTCTCTCTCCCCACCCCCCTCTTCCCCCCCCCCCCCCCCCCCGAGTCCACGGCCCACACGGATGTGAACTGAGGACGAGGACCTGTTTTTGTACACTGTACATCCTTAGTATTTTTACACGTCTCGGCCAGGGGTGCCCGTGTCTCCCCCCCGTACAGACAGCTGAATAAAGCACTGTGTCAATCCGCTACTTCTCCGCTTGTTGTTGTTGGATGTGGTTCTGTGATCGCAGAAAACGGAATCCTGGCCTTTTCTGGGGGGGGAAAAAAAAGGTTTTCAGGAGCTCCACCTGGTAGTCACCGGCCTGGGATAAGATGTGGCAGGAAAAGGTATAAAAGTTAGTAGCACCAGTCACACGTGGGCTTCGTCCATCCGTCTAGTAAGACGGCAGGCGTGTGGCTGTGCAGCCCTGGCGGAGGCCGTGTCCCAGGGAGGGGACTCCCGGCACCGGGTCAGCATAGCCCCCGGGGTGAGGCCCTCCCCACCTCCCCAGCAGGCGGTCTGGACCAGGCCGAAGCCGCGTGGCTCATCGGTGACGTCTTCCTGGCCACATGAGGCTCAGCTTCCTTCCTCCCGGGGTACCTGCTCCTGGAATTGGGGGCACAGTAAACGTAGACATGAGGGGGATGGAGGGGCCAGGAGATGGACCTCGGTCTGATGGACCTGGGGTCCTCGATGGAGCTTTTTTCTGACGTTACCTCATAAGACTGCCCCTGTGGGGCCTGGCTCTCCCCTGGGATTCGGCCGGACAGAGGACCGGCTTAGGGACCAAAATCAGACAAGTTGGATGTGGACGTGGCCGCACGGATGCTCCCCTCCCCACACCACGGGGCTGACGGTCCGGGAGGCGGGGATCAGTGCCCTCTGGTTTCCTCTGGTGCTATTTTTAGACTCGTAGGTCATTTACTCCTAGACCAGGATTAGGGACAACGTCCATCCCTTACGCCACGGCCTTGATCTCCAGCGTGGAGGGTGAGACCGAAACCGCCTGACTCCGAGCAGAGATTCTGCTCCTTCGGGCCAGAACCTCATGCTGGAGAGGCTCGCGTGGTCTTTGTGCGGGCACCCCTCCCCCCCCCAAAGCCCCACACGGTCACTCTGAGAGGCCTGGCTGGTGACAGTGGCAGGGGGTCACTGGCCCCGAGGTCAGCCCGAAAGCGGGGACTTGCCCAGGTGGCAGCTGCCTGTCCGGTTCCAGTGCCATCCTCAAGGACAACGAGGCATGCCAGTCCCGCTTTACCCCGTAAAAGCATCGGGGCCTGTGTGTAGCTGAGATACCGGTTGAGATTGAACGGATGGTCTGTGTCCAGAGGCTGAGGGAGGTTGGGCGTTCCCAGGCCCCTCACTAAGTTGAGCCCCCTGGCCGGAGAGGCCTGACTGTCTGTGATTGTTGCTACCGTGTTTCCCCGAAAATAAGACCTACTTACAGGTTTCCTTCTGAGTGAAATATAAGACATCCCTCCCTCCCCGAAAATAAGCCCCCACCCCCCCAGGCTCTGTCTCAGAATGCTATTGCTAAACGTGAGAGATTTGGTCCACTGATTCTGAAAGAAATGGAGTCACAAGAAATTCACCAGGAAATTCAGGAATTGGATTGCTGTGATGATGTTCCAGAAGATGATGACATGATTGTCAGTGAGTAAATGAGTCAATTCTTGATACTGTAGGATTCAGTTTGTCTGGTTTGTGTTGACAACTACCGTACTACCGTACCGTATACAGGTAATAAAGTTCCTTTATTTTCATTT